ATTACAAAGGGTATTACATAAGTGTCCTTTTTCCCCCCCGCCACCCCAAAGAGAGAATCTTAAATGCAGCAAGAGAAAAGGAGTAAGTTAACTACATGAGAGCTCCCTTAAGTCTGTCAGTTGATTTCCCAACAGAAACTTTGCAGGCCAGAAGGGAGTAGCAAGAAATATTCAAAGTTATGAAAAGCAAGGAACTACAAAGCTATCATTTAGAACTGACGATCAGATAAAGCGCTTCACAGACAAGAAAAAGCTAAAGGAGTTCATCACCACCAAACCAGTACTACATGAAATGTTGAAGGGAGAAAGGAGAAGACAAAGATGAAGACGAAGATGAAAAATTGATTAAAAATATGAACAATAAAATGGCAATAAATACATATCAATAATTGAATATAAAAATCAAAATAAATGAACAAGGAATGTAATGAACAAAATAAACTGATGAATAAAATAGAACCAGAGGCATGGAAACATGGAACAGACTGATGAATCTCAGACTGAAGGGGGAAGAGGGTAGGTGGGAAGAGATTAACCAAAAAACTTATATGCATATATGCATTACCCATGGACACAAACAATAGGACGGTGAAGGCCTGGGGTGGGGCAGGATCTGGATGGAGGAGGGCAAGGGGGTGGGAAAAAGGGGTGAGACATCTCTAATACTCTCAATGATAAAGATTTTAAAAACGAAAATAATATTCAGAAAGGCAAGAAGGAATCTAAAATAACCCCCAAAAGATCATTCATCACAGTGAACACTGTATCTGTGGGTAAATTCACTATGCCACAATGTCAAACCATCCTTCTAGCTCTCAGATGAGAAACACTAGAGCACTTGTGAATCCACTTGTTTTAATGATCCTACTGAAGCAAGGGAGGCCGTAGAGAAGAACAAGGGGTGCAGTGTTTCAGAGTACAGGCTGTGTGGCTAAACTGCTGGGGTGAACTGCAGCTTTGCCTTTGGATAGTCATGTATCTTAGGCAAGTAGTGTTTTTTTCCACATATTTTTATTGATTTCAGAGAGGAAGGGAGAGGGAGAGAGAATAGAAACATCAATGATGAGAGAGAATCATTGACGGGCTGTCTCCTGCATGGTCCCTACTGGGGATCGAGCCCGCAACCCAGGCATGTGCCCTTGACTGGAACTGAACCTGGGACCCTTCAGTCTGCAGGCCGACGCTCTATCCACTGAGCCAAACAAGCTAGGACTCAGGCAAGTTTCCTAATCTCTCCATTCCTTAGTTTCTTCACCCATAAATGGGGACTAACTCCCTAATGCAGAGGGATGTGTGAGGATAAAATGAGATAACCTAGTTCTTAGCACCGTACCTAATACATATTAATTTCACAATTACTTCAAAAACTCCTCAGTATGAAACTCCTTGGTCTTTGCATGCACACAATTCATAAAAGGTAAATATGTGGTACAGCAACCTTTCAGAGCAACACAGCACCCCAATCAAATGACAAGGTAGGCCTGGGCACACATCCCAGAACTCAAAAACGTCTGTACCCCAAAAGTTCCCTTTAGAGCAGCGGTTCTCAACCTGTGGGTCGCCAACCTGTGGGTCGAGAACCCTTTGGGGGTTGAACAACCTTTTCACAGGGGTCGCCTAAGACCATCGGAAAACACATATATAATTACATATTGTTTTTGTGATTAATCACTATGCTTTAATTATGTTCAATTTGTAATAATGAAAATACATCCTGCATATCAGATATTTACATTATGATTCATAACAGTAGCAAAATTACAGTTATGAAGTAAAATGAAAATAATTTTATGGTTGGGGGTCACCACAACGTGAGGACTGTATTAAAGGGTCGCGGCATTAGGAAGGTTGAGAAACACTACCTTAGAGTCAGTGGAACACACTTCCCACATGCCAGGGTTAAATCATTGCTAACACAGGTGAAAGACATGAGTGGGCACAGCTGAGCCTCTAGCTGCGATCCGCCCCCTGCTCTAATGGGTAGGCGTTAGGTCCTGGGAAGGACAGAACACAGTGACCCTGGGAAGAACACATCTTCCCGCCACTGTAACAGCTTGAAGCTTACACTTTATGCTTGAGGACTTCAAGAACAACCTATTCTGTCCTGTACCAAGGGCCTCATAGCACTCACTGTATCAACACTGAGACACTGTAACCCATAACACACAGATACTAAAATAAAAATGTAGAATTTGTTTCTATTTCATGAACATGCTTTTGGTGATATCCTTTCGAAAGTGGACACTCGATAGTTGTCAGTATCTTAGTACCAACTCTCAATCTCCCTCTAACAAGAACACAGCAATAAACATATCTATATACTCTAATAAGCCTAGAGTTACTTTAAGGAATAATTATGTTCTTATGAAATATTTTATAGTTACCACCAAGATGACTAGTCCGTCTTCTCTATGGGTCTACATAACTCACCTACTCCTTACTCAGGTAATACTGATCATAAAACTACTCAAAATTAGACAGGAAAAAAAATTAAGGGAGGCCCAGCTGATGTTGCTCAGTGGTTAAGCATCAACCCATGAACCAAGAGGTCACAGTATGATTCCCAGTCAGGGCACATGCTTGGGTTGTAGGCTTGATCCCCAGTAGGAGGTGTGCAGAGGCAGCCGATCAATGATTGTCTTTCATCAGTGATGATTCTATCTCTCTCCCTTTCCCATCCTCTCTCTGAAATAAAAACATTTTTTAAGTGAGGAAAAAGAGTTTAGAAAATTTACAAAGTCAAGAAGTAAAATGTCAAGAATTAACAACATTTTAAAAAGACAGCTATACACACTTACATTGCACATATATGTATAAATCAAGATCTTGGTTTCCCGCCCTAACCAGTTTGGCTCATTGGATAGAGCGTCAGCCTGCGGACTCAAGGGTCCCAGGCTTGATTCCGGTCAAGGGCATGTACCTTGGTTGCAGGCACATACCCAGTAGGGAGTGTGCAGGAGGCAGCTGATCGATGTTTCTCTCTCATTGATGTTTCCAACTCTCTATCCCTCTTCCTTCCTCTCTGTAAAAAAAAAAAAAAAAAAAAGATCTTGGTTTCCCAATACCATTCTCTGTAATGGGATCAGAGCTCCTCAGAGAAATGGCTGATCCTAGGGCTGGGGCAGGGAAAGAATAAGACAAGTCTAGAAGGTCTTACTCTACCAAAAAGTAAGAAATTGCTCAAAGAATGCTGGGGTCATGTTAAAAGGACAGGGAGCCATATTTAAGAAGCTACCATAGGCCAAAACGGGAATAATTAGAGCATCAAAATAAACAATGATAGTAAAAAATTATAATCCCTTCAATAAAGTAAGAATCCATTATTCCACAATTATATAAACAAATGATTAAGTAAATGCTGTGGAGTGGGGCAGAAAGCTCTTCCTTACTGCACAAAAACAACTAGTATAGGTATCAGGAATGATGGAATAAGAAAAATCACCACTTACCAATCATCATAATAATAATTGATTCAGGCAGGAATCATCAAAGAATGCTAAACTAGTGGATGAAATTTTGAGAAGTAACAGGACGTTCACATACATAGCCTCAGAATATACCTCCATAACTTACTTTTCAATTATAATTAAAATTTGCAGAACAGAAACTGGCAGGCACCACCTGAGCCAATCAAAGTTACTGTTGCCAGTAATGGGGCTCATGGACAGCAGAGCCTCCTGGTGACGTCAGCATCACTTCTGTAAGTTCTTTGCCAAAAGGCATAACCTAAATCTAATCATGAGAAAATATCAGAAAAACCTAACTGAGGGACATTCTATAGAATAACTGGCCTGTACTATTCAAACTTGCCAATGTGATAAAATACAATAAAAGACTCCAGATTGAAGAAATTATTTTCAGGTTAAAGGTATTGAATGTAACATGATTTGAATTTTCTTTTGTTACAGAAAGACCTTGTTGGAAAAATTAAAATCTCAGTAAGATCTGTCAATTATGTAATAGCATTTTTTCAAATCAGTTCCTGATTTTCATCACTGTACTGTCATTGTGCAAGAGAATTCCTTGATGTTAGGAAATACTAGCACACACTGACATATGTAGAGATAAAGGGGAATCATGTCAGCCACATACTTCTAAGTGATTCAGAAAGAAAAATCTGGGAGGGGCAGTAAGGAGAGTAAGAGATAAAAGGGGGAAGAAAAAAGGGGTGGAAGAAAACAAATGTAACAATATGTTCACATTTGGAAATCTGTGTAAAGAGCATCCAGAAATTCTTTGTCCTCTTTTTACAACATTGCTGTGCCTGAAATTACGCCAAAGTAAAAAAAAAAAAAAAAGTTGGATATAAAGTGATACCTCTGTCAAAACTCATGGACCAGCATGCTAAAATCTGTACATTATACCATGTATAAATTACACTTCAGTTAAAATAATTAAAGCTTATTCTAAATATTTAATCAAATACTGATGACTGGAAAACTTCAACAATTAAAAACAGAAGTTAGAAACCCATCAAGGGCCTATCAAAATGGAGACGAACTTCATGTCTGCTGTTTTGGAGCGTGCAATGATAAACTAGCACCAGCTAGTCTGGTCACTTCCGTGATCGCAGGACCCACGGCTCTCACGACCTCCTGGCTGTGGAATCAGGCCCGCCACCTTCCACCAGCTCCCCAGGAGGCCCCCTGTGCACTCAGCTCATAGTAACAACAACCTCTCATACTATTGTTTAATGTGTTTTTTCATCCTAAATTAGCTTCACACACTTCCTTACTAATCAACCCCTAAATAACAAGCAAATCTGGACCTTAAATGTTTTTAATTTTAAGAGAGAGAGAGAGAGAGAGAGAGAGAGAGAGAGAGAGAGAGAGAGAGAGAGAGAGAGAGAGAGAGAGAGACCATATATGCCTGGCCAGCACCTGGCTTCTCACCTACATTAATACCTTTCAAAGTATTTTTTAAAAGATTATTATCAGTGTAATAGTCAACTATTTTCTTTCAAAATACTAATAAAACAAAATGACTATGGTGTCTCATACCTTGCTTCAGAAATACTATAAATTCCTTTACAGTCTGGTCGAAATTAACTCCGTGATATACCACAGGTTTGAAGTTCCGATGCTCAAAGGATCGAATGAGGCGAACTGTGATGGTCACTTCTTTGGAAGCCATGTGAAAAAACTCCTGTGGGAAGAGACACAAGAACAGTCTAAATAACACCAACTCAAAGTTATGGCCTGCATTTCCGCCATCAGCTCTCTGGCACCCAGACCATCCCTCCCATACTGTCTGGCACGGCCCCCACACCAACGCTGCTTCTCAGGCACCCATGAGAGTCCCAAGGTTACTCCCACCTACCCGCTGTCACCTGAACGGCCTCGTCACAGTTGCTGAAAGTCTGACTGGCAGAAAACTGATGGCACAGAAGACGAACACAAGTGACATGGGGGGCAGGGGAGACTCGAGTTCATGTATGAGGACAAGCAGGGGTTGCCAAAGACAGATACCTGGCATACACACAGCTGCCTTGGATTTGCTATGCCGGGGGTCTCCTCACTTGGCCCTGAGATGAAGTATGTTTATAACAGTTCAACTATCAGCAGACCACATCTTAATCTCATAAATGCTGCCAGATTTCAGTGTTGATTTAATTATATGCCACAGTAACAACGACCTCTCATATTACTGTTTAATGTTTTTATTTCATCCTAAAACCATGTACTAGGGCCATGTGCCAGGTGTTAATGTTATTGCATTTTATTCTATCACCAAGTCATAAATTATTACACTCATTTTAAGGATGAGAAAACAGACTCAGACAGATTTTACAAATTGCCCAAAGTCATAAAGTTTAAACAAAAAGCCAGGATTCAAGCACCAATTTAATTCCAAAGTCAGGGTCTCTCAAATATACTACCAGAAAATCACCAGAATTATTTCCTCCAAAAAAATCTGCAAAGTTGCCAATGATTTAATGATATAATTACAGTGCATTTCTAATTAGTAGTAACCACTTCATGCTACTTTCAACTTTATATACAACTTTCAGCCATAATATACAAGTGCTAAGAAAAAATACCTGTAAAACCCAAGAAATGATGTCCAATCTCACTAGTAATCAGAGGAATTAAAAATAACAATGAGATATATCACTCATCAAACTGACATAAAGTCTGACAATGCCTAGTGTCGGCAAGGGTGCAGAACAATGACAATTTAATCAGTGAAGGAGCACAAGTGGTTACTACTTTAGGAGATGGTTGGCAATACTTAGTACAGCTGAAGATACACATACCTTTCAATCTAGTGATTTCATTTGCAGGTAGTACGCCACCTATGTGCACAGGGAGAACTGTAAAAGAACATTCATAGTAACATTATTTGTTAATTATAAAAACTGGAAACAAATGTCCATCAAGAGAAGAACAGATAAGTAAATCATGGATAGTACAGGCAATAAAAATGAATGGACTAGAACTATATACCTCAACAGGTGAACCTCAAAAATATTATGAATGAAAAAATGGTAGTCAAAGAATCAGAGTATACTACCATTTATACAAAGTTAAAAAACATAGCTGTTGTTATGTGGAAAAGGAGGTAATTACTGTATTTTTGCATGTATAAGACGCTATTTTTTTCTAAAATCTTTAGACTGAAAATCGAGCAATGTCTTATACATGAAGTCAGCAGAGGAGGGAGCCGCGCAGGTGCAGAGCTGCCCATACCTTGTCAAATAGGCTTCCTCCAATCACAAGCCTTATTGTTACTGATGTCAGCTGATGCTGTAATTGGAGGTGAAGGTGGAAAGTGCGCAGATACAACAGGGACTGGAGCATTCGGAGCCCATAAAAATGTCAAAAAATAGAAAGATAAATACCGGTAAGCGATTGTCTTACTCTGCAAAATTCAAACTGAATGTAATCAGCTATGCAAAAGAGTATGGAAATAGAGCTGCAGAGAGACAATTTGGACTTCCTTCCACTGAGTGTGTGATCAGACAGGAGAAAACAGGAAGAACAACTCCTTAAGATGCCAAAAAAGAAGGCCTTAAGTGGAAAAACCAGCAAAATGGGCAAACTTGGAGCAGAGGCTTAAGACTTGGATTACGGAGCAGCGCCAGAGTGGCTTATGTGTGTCAACCACGCTTATTCAACGTCAGGTAAGAATGTTTGCAAGCAAAATGAACATTGTTGATTTTACAGGAAAGGCAAAATGGTGCTTCCGTTTCATGAGAGAAGGGTTGGCCATGAGAACACGAACAAAGTTAGCTCAGAAAATGCCACCAGTTTATGAGGATGATCTCACATATATGGACAGTGACTCAGAAGACAGCAGTGATACAATAGAAGTTGAAGAAATTGATATGTCTGGAACTAATAGTGATGAAGAAGAGAGCAGTGATGCAACAGAGGCTGAATAAAGTGATATGCTGCATAATATCATAGTACTGGTATGTGAACATTATCTGCGGTAATTACTAAATAAAAATGTGTTCTGTTTTATGTTTAAAATATTGACTTCTTAATTTTGGGTTGGAAAAGTGGGGGGCATCTTATACATGGGGGTGTCTTATACACAGAAAAATACGGTAGTTGTCATCCCTGAGGCAGAGGAAGGGTTATACAATTAGAACACATGCACTTTGATTATGTTGCTGGCCATTTATGTCCTGAGTGGGACTTAGGTATATGGATAGTATGTTATACTTTATGCCTTTTAGCATATCTGGAATGTTTCACAATAGACAGCAACAAGCCACACTAATTTGGCCTACAAAGTCTCTCTGAATCATAGAATCCTTATACGAATATTTTATTGGATTTGAAAGAATATATAGCATATTATATATAGAAATCAAAATTCAAGCAGTTTTAATACATAAAATAAATTGTAATTACAATTAGCATACTATTTATAATTAAATGAATGGTTCCTAAAGGACTAGAAATAATATTTTCCGTCTAAAATAAGGTTTCACTTTATAATCTTTAATGAGTTTAAATTAACAAATCTTTTGATAATCCCAACACTAGCTACTATACTGTTTTATTTTATACATATATAATTTTATTGATTTCAGAGAGGAAGGGAGACAGAAACATCAATGATGAGAGAGAATCATTGATCAGCTGCCTCCTGCATGCCCACACTGGGGATCGAACCCGCAACCCGGGCATGTGCCCTGACTGGGAATTGAACCGTGACCTCCTGGTTCATAGGTCAATGCTCAACCACTGAGCTATGTCAGCCAGGCTATGCTATTTGTTTTAAATCTAATTTACAATGCTCCCAAAAATTCTGATCCTAGAATCTACCACATAATAGCAGTTCGGCCAACATCTACAAAGTTATAATTTAAAATAGACTGAGGTATTTAATAAAGAATACCTCTTGAGAGAGGGATATTATAAAAGACTTCTGTATTTCAGAAGCAGTGTTAACAGGTTTTTAAGAATTATGACTTCTTCCCCCTCTCACCTACCCGCCCCCTCCAACAATAAAGATGCCCTCCAAAACACACCCACACGCATGCCCACACAAAGTGGGAAGGCCTAGAACACAGTCCCAGTCCCCAACGAGGTTAGAGCTAGACAGATGTAGCTTAAATATACAGTCTACCTCTTAGCCTCAACACACACTCGGATCGCACATAGTAGGATCTCAATAAAAACCAGCTGCTCTTATTGTTATTCTACTTATGATAAAACTAGAGGCCCGGTGCACAAAAATTTGTGCACAACCTGTGCCCTCTCACAGTCTGGGACCCCTCGGGAGATAACCACCTGCTGGCTTAGGCCCGCTCCCCAGGCAGCAGATGGCAGGCCCGATCCCGCAGTGCCTGCCCTGCCTTCCCAGGTTGCAGATGGCAGGCCCGGATCCCGTGCTGGGTCGCTAATGGCAGGCCCAGATGGCGGTGGGGCAGGCGGCAGATTGCGCTGTCCCGCCCCGCCGCCCCGGGTCACACACAGGAGGCCCGGATGGCTGCGGGCAGCGGCTTGCGCTGTGCCACCCTGCCTGCAGTATGCAAATTTAACAGCCATCTTTGTTGGGTTAATTTGCATACTCTTCTGATTGGCTGATGGGCGTAGCGAAGGTACGGTCAATTAGCATCTTTGTCTTTTATTAGTGTAGATAGGTTTGGATATAAAGACACCTCTTATAGGCAGCAGATAAAGATACTAGATTCCCAGGTACAACGAAACAAATCATGTAAATGATCTAACAGAGGAAGCCAGATAGGCTGGCATGCGCATGCCTTATGAAACTGTTTTATAATTGTAGAGTGTGTGTTTTTGTCCACTTAATATAAAGCTGCCCAAATGTTGTACTTAAATAGTTGAGGCTTTCAATTAAAACTCCTCATTTGTGTTAATATCTAATTTTAGTCAACACTGTATTGTCATCTTCATAAAAAATCTGTTGTTATATATACTCAGTAACTAAACAATAATAGATATTATCAGAAGGAAAGAAAGTATTATCTATTTTGTCTTAAGGATTATGGGAAATGCTGCTGGTGAGCTGAGGGAGGCAAACGTACTAAACAGATAGCTTATAGAGCTAATATTACAGATTATAAAATGACATTTTCCCGTAAGTTTGCCTTACATAAAAAAAACCACAGTGATTCTAAAGAAGTTTAAAAACAATCCTTTAAATGAAGGGACAGAGAAACCAAAAACAATAAACTTAGAGATAAGTTAATAAAAAATAGTCAAGCACATAAAAAAGATTTGAATAAATGAAACAATAGACCATGTTCCTAACTATGAAGTCTCAAAATTGTAAGAAATAAATTCTCTATAAATTGAATAATACCCCACTCAAAATATACAAGAGTGGTTTGGGGAACTTATCACAAATATTTCTAAAATCCATCTGGATGAATACATTTATTTTATTTTTTAATTAACAATTATTTTCAATTACAGTTCACATTCAATATTATATTCGTTTCAAGTGTACAGCACAGTGGTTAGACATTTATGTAATTTATGAAGTTATCTCCCATAAGTCTGGCACCATACATAGTCACTATAATATTATTGACTATATTCCCTATGGTGTATTTTACATCCCTATGACTGCTTTTGTAACTGGCAATTTATATATCTTAATCTTCTTTTTCAAGGAAGAATTCATTTGTGAACTTAGTGAGCAAAGTCATAAAAGAAAAAAGA